CGTATATTCTATTCACCGATATAAGAAAAGTCTTAAAATTCAATAAATTATTTGCCTCATTTACTGTGTTCGGCCACGTGCATATACCCCTTATACTGAAGAAAACAAAGGGAATAGTTACCCTAGTAGTTATACCTATGTCATTAGGTAAAAAAAAGTGGGTTGCCAATTTCAAATAAGAAAGCAGAGCATTGGGCTAGTACAACGCACCCATTTCCCTATTTACCTCGACCGCTGGGTTTCATCTCCTGTTTATGACTATTAAATAGTAATAAAATGCGGATGAATTCCTTATATGTATGAATAAAGTATATGCTCAAGCATGGATTTTGATCATTGTATGGTGGATCTTCTCTTCATGAAACCATGTTGTCCATTGATAATGACATTCTTAAAATGTGGGGTGATTTTATCTGCAACAATACCTTCAAAAACTTTGGCTACCAAGGAGACCTTTGATATTGCTCGATAATTCTCAATGTCTGATTTGTCTCCATTTTTAAAAACTGGAATACCATAGAATTTTTGCCAGGCTTCTGGATATGTACCAGTAGACAATGATATATTAGAAATATCACACAAAATTTGAGACAGAACAAACCTGCAGCCTTCTAGGAAAACAAACGGTATGCCATTTGGCCCAACACCGAGACTCTGCTTATCCTCTCCGATTCAAAATTCGGAAACATTACATATTATTATGTAATATGATATGTCTCTATCTATCTAATCACATGCTAACCACACGCTTGGTTTTTTTCCTTTTTCATTACCAAGGAATGAGTCGGAGCGCCTGGAGCGCCCGCTCCGTTCGCCTTATGGTAGGGCCGGCCCTGAATAATTGCTTCCTAATGCTCAGGCGGGTTTACTCATCAAGGTTGCCAGGTCTCATGAATTCTCATAAGATCTCATGATTTGGCCACATTTTTCATGACTTCATGATTTTCAACAAAAATCTCATGATTTTTGGCGCAATACACATACTCCGGTAACTCTATTATTTTCATTTAAAATTCAAACTTTGTGTTTGATATTTTAACATTATTACATTTAAGCGCTTGCGTAGAATGAATATTTTCTATAATTTAAAGGTTTGTTCGCGCAGAAATTACAAACCAGCCACAGCGAATTTCATTGGCTGAAAACAGTCAATAAACTTGTTCCAACCAATGAAATTCACTCTGACTGGTTCGTGATTTCTGCGCGAAGAGACTTAGACCTAATATAAATAAATCAGAAGCGAGAAACTGGTTAAATGCGTTAACTTTATACGGGTATTAAAAAAAAATTGACAGAATAACTAAAAGTAGGTACCTACCTATTAGGTACTTTTTGTGTTTTGAGGTTTTTATTTTATTCTTCCTGTTATATGTTATGTTTTGTGTTGTACTTTTCAGATAAAAGTGATTTTTTTATCCAATAAAAATGCATATTATTAATATAGACGCATTTTTTTGTCGATTTCCGATAAAATTAGTCATCTCATGATTTTTACTGAGAATCTCATGATTTTTGCTGCATCATTTTCTCATGAATTTTTTTTTTTCGACCTGGCAACCTTGTTACTCATATTCCGATAAACTTACTATCTACAAGACAAATTTGCCAATCAATAAACCTATTGGTCGACAAATAACTGGCCTACCAATAGGATTGTAGATTACGTTTCCATCCGTCAGATAATCCTGATAGTTAATCAGAAGGAGAATAAACTAGGCCTTATTTTCTCTTTTGAGCAGCCGTTATATTTATCTTATCGTAAATGTTATAGATCAGACTAACCATCTATCTACAACTGGACGTTGGTGCTTCCAATGCTCCTGCTATGTATGAACTAAGCAGGCGATTTTTAAAAACCGGAATATCTCTGAAAATCAAGGGTTGCTAAGGATAACGCACACCTAACATGGGATTTTTGGGCTCTATGGATTTTGCCAATTTTTTGAGAGGATTTAATTCTGAACTACCTTTTAATGGGACGAAATCTTGTAGGTGTTACGGTCTTTGAGATATGAGCGTTGAAAGATGAACTTTTTTGTGAGTTTTTGTGTGGACAGTGTACGAGATACTGGTGTTTATCAGTCAAAATATTGACAGATTCACATATCTTACGTCACTTACAAATCAATGTCAATACAGGTTAAGCCAGGACCGCACTGGGGTCATTGTTGGCGCCAGTGTGGTCCCAGCCTTAGCCTATGTTGACGTTTGTTAATGACGTAGAATATGTCGACCTGTTAATATATTGACTGATAAACACCAGTTTCACACCAGTTTCTCATATACTCTCCACACAAAAAGTCGCGAAAAAGTTCATCTTTCAACACTCATATCTGTAAGTCCGTAATACCTACAAGATTTCGTCCCATTTAAAGGTTGTTAAGAATTAAATCCTCTACAAGAGTGGTTCCCAACCTTTTTTTAGTGAGGACCCTTTTACAGATTTGTGCATAAGGTCGCGACACCCATACCCATGATAACTGAGCTTGCATCTCCGTAACAATTTTTGAAATTCTTGGTTGAGTTTTGGTTAAAACCTATGTCATCTTGAACTCCCAGTCTATTTCTGGCTTTTGTTTTAATTTGCAATAGTTGAAAAACCACTTACACGGAGGTAGATAGAGACAAATGGTATTAGTATCCGAAAAGAAAAGCACAAGCAGATGACATAAGGATATGAACTATGCATGGCACATCAATATTCAGTCAAGAATTTTTCCTGATATAAGGGAGGTGCTGTGGAGTCATTCCTCAGTTCTAAAAGTTTATCCTGTACGTCATCAGGAACGTCGGCAAAATAATGCCCATTTCATTCTCAAAGGATTGAAGGTGATAATCAATTTTCTCTTTAGATTCTCCACAATTTCTATTTCTGATGCTTCAGCCATTATGCATAGCTACCTATGTTCAAAAACATGCGACTCACAACAGGTCTCACAACCTGTGCTATGCAACGGTGCGCGGCTTTTGAGGCGGAGACTAAGACCTGTTGTCAAATGCAGAAAATATGATATATTAATATTGGTATTGCGACCCCTCCAAAAACCCTATGCGACCCCCTTAGGGGTCGCGACCCACCGGTTGGGAACCGCTGCTCTACAACATATCAAAAAATGAACAAAATCCATAGAGCCCAAAAATCCCATGTTAGGTGTGCGTTATCCTTGGGGATTGAAGCACTAACCATTTATCTGTAACTGAACGTTCGTTCTTCCCTTGCACCTGCTGCGTGTGAAGTGACCAGACGATTTCAAAAAACCGAAATATCTCCGAAAATACAAGGGTTGCTAATTTGGGGATTGAAGCACATTGAAGCACTAACCATTTATCTGTAATTGAACGTTGGTGCTTGCCTTGCTCCTGCTGGGTGTGAAGTGAGCAGGCACTTTCAACAAACCGAAATATCTCCAAAAATACAAGTGTTTCTAACTTGGGGATTGAAGCACATTGAAGCACTAACGAAGCACTAAACGAGTACGTAAAATTTAACTTTTGTGGGGTTTTTGGAAGGCTACTGCATGTTGTACTCGTTGGTGTGTCTTCTGATACACTGTCTATCAATGCCAGACCTCCAAATATATAGGGCTTCTTTTTGAAGATGTACTGCCATCCTCTGGAACTCTCTGTCTCCTACCTCAATTCTTGAAAGATTTAACCTTAACGCGTTTCAACGGAGGGTTAATCGTCACTTAATTTCTTCCGCTCATGGTACCGCTTAGGTAGTACTATACAGGGTGAATCTGAAAGTGAGGGTTTTTTTTTAACAAGGTATATATCTCGCCAAAATAAGTTGTTTGGCAAAAAATTGTTTATATAAAAAGTTTAAGATAACGGAGTTACAGGTATTTTAGGGTTATGTGCATTAAAAATCTAATTTCAATAATCTAAGATTTAGTAGAGAAAATATGATGAAAATTATCACAAAAATTGTTTAAAATTATTCCCATTTGTCTGATGCTCCATTTCCCTCCTAAATTTTGTCTGTTTCATTTTAAAACAAAAATTGATAGGTTGAAAATGAATTTTTTTCTGATGGAATAATGCAACTGTGAGTACCTATTATGGAATAAGACTCATTATGCTGGACTAATAATAGCTTTTTTGCGCCTTTTTTTTTTTTGAGAAAATGTAAACAAAGTGATTTATAGTGGAAGACTCCTCTAACCTCAAAATAGCTGTACCTCCGTTATCTTAAATTTTTTATATAAACAATTTTCTGCCAAACACTTATTTTGGTGAGATATACATCCTGTTAAAAAAAAGCCTCACTTTCGGATTCACCATGTATATAGACTTTGTGTTTTGTGAGCGAACCAATAAAAAAAGTGGAAAATGGATAATTGATCATCTAAATTTGTACGAGGAGCTCCTAATGCCAAATTAACTGTGAATACTATCAGAGGATCAAATCAAGGATTGAACTCCATACTTGACTATAGGGGCATGGACATCAGTTCGATATGTTAGCTGGTCGGTAGGTACTCAATTGTAGATAGACAATTCCATCCGCAAATGCCACGATAAACAAGTAAAGAAACTATTTGAAAAAATATCAGAGAAACTGAAAGGATAATACAAGAAAATTAATTGGAGAAAAAGATTGAAAAAAATTGAAATATAGAATACCGCAGCTCGAATAACGAAGGAGGATTGGAAACTAATGATATGAAAAAAACTATACAACTAGTGGAAGAATACTATTATAGAAACCTCTATTCCTTTAAGTATAGGTACCTATATCCACCAGCTTTCATACTTTACATGATCAGACTATATAATCAATCAACAAAGATAATGTGTTCTACACATTATCTTTTTGTGTCTTGTGTTCTACACATTATCTTTGTGCAATGACGTGTTTATCATATAATATTGCGGGTAATTCTCGTACATAATGTATAAAATATGACATGAGGCAAGATGCTGAAGTCTTGGCTTGGGAATGGAAAGACACTCCGAGTTTTTATTTCAATTATATTTTCTTAATCTTTATTGCTCACCTGGGTATTCTGAGAATAGTTGCTGTTCTGGACAGTATTGATTCTCTTCGGAGAGTTTAGGATATCGTTGTTTCTATTATGGACGGCCTGTAGCGGACCATCTGCCGATTTTAGGCGCATTATTTAACTTTTCTGCAATAAAATGGAAAAAAAAAATTTGATATATGGACAATATAATTTATCACCTAAAATCTAATATTTATTCATTAACCAATACGAAGTTTTTATACAATAATGATAATTTCAAAGCCAATATTTTTGTGAAATCATTTCCCGTATATTTTATACAGTAATTAATTAATAATGATATTCAATATCATCAATCATGCATACAAAAAATATTCATTAAAAGGGCATTTACCGTATTCATGAAGCCAATGTTATTGATAAAGTTGATATTTATAAAATAAATAAATTAAATTTTTGGTACTGGAGATACAAGCAAACAAATAATTTTGAGGAAATGAAATAATATGATTTTGAATAAACTTTTGAAAAAATTCCTTTTTGTTTCGAAAAGCTATAGCCTAATCGTATTTTCACTTTAATAGATGATACTACATATAGCAAGACAGATTAAACACATTATAGTCGACATTGTAGTTAGAGCTTCAAAATACCTAGTATCCTGTGACTATATCAGATTTTGTGCCATATTGATTAATACGTAACATAATATCCAATAATCGAATTAGCGACACGTCCTTGAAACAGATGCAATGTCCGTTTCACGGTGCGGACATTGTGCCATTCTAATTAATAAATCAGTCGTAAAAGCATGTCAAATTGAAAGGTGATGAGGCTATAGTAACCTGACAAATTAGATTTTGGCGTTTTGGCAAAGGAAAATATGTTCTTTTTATTTTGCCGCCTAGTCGGTATTGTGTGCGCCATTATATGAGTCTCTGTCAGTAATTTTGATCACATACTATAGGATTTGAACTCAGGACTACCGCATATCCAGTGCAACGCTCTAACCAACTGAGTTTCCAAAACCTGTTTCATTTCTACCCTGATATCAATTTTACCCCAGGGAAATTAGACTTCCTCTGGGGAATGAGGCCGAACAAGCTGAATTTTTGCAGAAACCTTCGTTTTGATGTTCTAATGAAGCACAAAAAAATCGAATATGCCTAACCTTGTGTGTCTTGAGATATCGAAGGTCAAATGTCACGAAAGTCGTTTTTTTTGCGAAAATCTCGCTTCCAGTGCATCTGATGTCGAAGAACTCAGAACAAAACTTACGTAAAATAGTATTTTCTACAAAATTGTTCATATACATTTTTTTGTACGACCAACCGTTTTTGAAATACAGCGTGATAAAGCGGGAGCGCGCATTCAGCATAGGTGATACTGTATTATACAGGTTGTCCACGTGCAACTGGTCAAAAATGCTGGGGTATATAGGGGAACCATAGAGAAGTAATTTGAGATCGGACACCGATGGTCGGAAATGCGTCGTTTCCAAAATACAGGGTGTTGAAAATTAAACAACCCCCTTTCATATCATCTGAAGGGCAAATGCTAGACTGTTCAAATTTCCAGGGATTATTGCTGTAGGAATGATATTTGAAAAATCGTATAATGCAACACCATTTTCTACCTGGAACCATCCCAAAAAAAATAAAAAATATTAAAAATATGAAAAAAAAAAAATGCAATTTCTTTCAAATTTTTTTTTTTGGGGAGGTAGGTAGAAAATGGGGGTGCATTATGCGAATTTTTAAATATCATTCCTACATCAATAATCCCTGGAAATTTGAACAGTCTAGCATTGGCCCTTCAGATGACATGAAAGGGGGTTGTTTAAATTTCAACACCCTGTATTTAGGAAAGGACGCACTTCCGACCATCGGTGTCCCATCTCAAATTACTTCTCTATGGTTCCTCTATATACCCTAGCATTTTTGATTACTTGAACGGGGTCACCCTGTATAATACAGTATCACCTATTTTGAATGCGCGCTCCCGCTTTATCACGCTATATTTCGAAAACGGTTGGTTGTACAAAAAAATGTATATGAACAATTTTGTAGAAAATACTATTTTACATAAGTTTTGTTGTGGGTTCTTCAACATGAGATGCACTGGAAGCGATATTTTCGCAAAAAACTGATTTTCGTGAAATTCAGCTTGTTCGGCCTCATTCCGCAGATGGCCCTTTTTTTGGTCCAATTTCCCTGGGGTTTTTGGGCATCTATCATTAATAAACTAATGGGTATTTTATTTGGCCCGCCCATGCTTGAATTTTTTTCTCAAAGGCTTCCACGCACTAGTGATACCCCATGCCTTCTTTACATTTTACAACTTATGGAAAGATATTTAGGGTGTAAGTTTGGAATAATAAGCTAATCACATCATAACTTCAATCTGCAATAATCTTATCGTTTCCATCTTATCTTGTCTCCATTCTGGAAAGACTCTGGTAACATCAATAGACACCTACATATAAAGCTATATCCAAATGATTGACCCTGAAACCGTTAAAATAAATTCCTCATTGTCATTTTTAATGGTCCTGCCTACTATTTTGTAAATCGATTTGCGCATGCAATTCAGTCGTTTGGCCTATTGAAACAAATAACGCTAAACTGAACACTTTTAGAAAAAATATGTTTGCCATTAGGCCCGTTCGCATTCAATGCGTCATCCCAGTCTCCATCTCTCTGATTTTGTTACCATGTAATTTATTTGAGTTTTCAGGATTAATTGTGCACTAGAATAGTTTTGTTTTTGGTTAATTTATTTGGCGTGGAGTATAATCAAATAGGTGCGTTTTAAAAATATATTTTTTTATTCCTGAATAATTATTATTAGGTACCTACCTCTGCATGACCAAACTTTATAAGCGAGATATGTAGATGTAGATGAAATATTTGATTTAAATTAATAATTTTACTATTGAATTTTTAATTTGAAAACCCCTTATTTTCGTTCCGCACATTCAATTATATTGGTGCGGAGAATCTGACGTCACTATTAGGACCCATGACAATTGACGAAGTAACAAAACTGAATGCACTGCTTCATGGTTTTACCTCGGTTTCTTCTCAAAAAAAAAAAAATTCACTCGAATATAGGTATATGAATAAAGAACGGTTACGTAAAGTCCTTCATCTTCCGATTCCAAATATCCACTCTTTCTCATCGGCCCGTAAATCTTCCTTTATGTCTCTGTTGCTGATTTCATTACCTACGCCTTTTCCCCAGCTTTTTCTAGACCTTCCTCGTTTTCTTCTTCAATTTGGGATCTTTTGTTGGATTCGCTTTGGTGTTCTATCTTTGTGTATGCCCGTACCATAACAGTTATTTTAGTCTAATGTCCTCCTCTGTACTAATTTCCTCAACTATCATTATTTTCAGTATTCTCTGGATCGTGACTCTACCCGGAATTCTTCTGCAGCTCGTCTCCAGAAATCCATTTCGGCAGCACATTTTGATGCTTTGATCTCAGAGTATTCGATTTAAGTGAGATATTGCCATTGTTCCCTGCATATTTCGATCTTTTATGGTTTTATCCAGTGTAGGTACCGTCGGGCGTTATTTTCTTGGACCTGGTTATTTAAATTCCTCGCAGGAATCAATTTGCTGACACGTATTCAAAACTAAGATGCTGGCGTCTTTCTTCAATAAACAAAAAATTGGTTTTCTTGAGATTACCTTCGAGTCTCGACATTAAGTATTTTTGGATACATTTTTTTGTCATAAACTCCTAAGTCGTCGTAGTCCTGAGCTACTACTATTTCGTATTCGGTACCACATAAAGTATACATCGTGTTTTCTTCTATGGGTCTTTCCATGCTGACATTTTTTTTCCCATGTTTTGAGAACTTTTTCCAGATAAATCTTGATGACATAGTAGTTATTGATGTAGTGAGTTCTGGTTTTCATATTTTTGTTCTCTTCATCTGTGTTTACACATGTCGATGCTCTAACTTTTCCGTTAAATCTCCTTTGGAACAAGTTCTTTATGCTGTCGTGCTCTCTCCTCTCATCAGTGGCGTACTGGCATAGTAGAACTAGGTCGGCTTCGCTCACCTTAGAGATCCGCGCCCGGCAATACTGGGTGTATATCTTTTTAAAGGCATAACGCATTCTGCACCATAAAAAATTGTAAAAACTTAATAATGGTTACAGTTCGGGTTAAAGGCAGATAGAAGTGTTGCTTAAGAGGGTAATATGATAAATAATATATAGCCACTATTTTACGGTCAAGCTCTACGCAACCGCCTCGCAGACTACTGAACTCAGCGGCGCACGTGCTTTTTGGACACGTTTGTTGCGCCCCAGCAATATATGTATGACTGGGCTGCTTGTATAGTGTGATGGTCCCCAAAACTTGGGCGTAATGGACAAGTAACGTGCACAGAAACACTAGTTGTCCACCCCGTCGGACGTGGTTACGCACACCACCCCGCTTAAAGGGGGTGTAACCTTAAAATACAACTTGTCTTGCATGACGTCATAAATACAAGCAAAAATTACAAAACCTATTTAAACTGACGCAATGATAGGGGTCAGAAAGCAAAAATAACACGCTAATGTCGATAATGTATGACAAGCATGAGCAAACGCGCGCCCATTGCCGGCCAGAGGACTCAGTTTGTACCCATGACGTCACAGTGCTGTGAGTGGGAACTTTATACCACGTATCTTCGCAACGGTTCTTTTTTTTTCCAAAACTTCTATTTTTGGGTCACACCCCCTTTAAAGGTACGGTTTGTTAGGAGAGTACGCGTCGCACAACTGACAACGTAAACGTCGTCATTGGTCAGGTATGACCATAGGTATGACGTACACCCGTTTTCTCACGTCAAAAGACGGGTGTACGTCATACCTGAACCAATGACGACGTTTACGTTGTCAGTTATGCGACGCGTACTCTCCTAACAAACCGTACCTTAAGACCGAAAGCAACGTTTGACGAGTCGGCTAAGCCTACTACCGAGCCTACTACATATCAATTATCTATGGCTTGCCCCGTTGCTCAGAAACTGGGATTGGGACTTATGCACCAGATTTTATCAGTACATTCATGTAGTCTACATGTACCATATTCCTTGTGTTTGGGGTAATGAATCCCCATTAAAGACAAATACGGACTCGGGCTGTCACACCAG